GCAGCTTGCATTTCATGATTTGTTTAGAATTGCTAAACTCAAAAACGAAAGAGGCAATATAAATTTTTGTAAAAAAAGCTGCAGCACTTGCATGGATACGCCAATTATTGAACTTGTTTGACCACAAATAGTATTCTTTCTCAGTCATGACCTGATCACTTTGCTGAACACTTTATTTCAAAAATTTGATTGACAAAATAGACCATATTAGTGTCTTATGGAAAATCTCTGTCTCCGGACCCCTCCTCTTAATTTCCAAATTCACTCCATCCCCCCTGTCTTCCCCAGTCTCGCCAACCTCCCGGATTGACCACAGCAAATTTATTCTGGGCTCCTAACTTTTCAGGTTAGGAGCCTGAAGGGCTTCTTAAAAATTTCCTTAGGCAACAGCCTTGTATAAGCACTGAGGCATATTGGAGAAATGTAAATACCTAATTATTTTCAGGAAAAAGGGATGCGAAACTTTTCTTTAGTACATTTTTAGTCACAAGTGTAAGAAAAGGTAACTCAAACCTAATTCGAACTCAACTCAAACTTAACTCAACTCCGAACTCAGTAAATAGCCGATCCCTCAATGCCTTTCCTGTTATCATACATTGACATCAAGACAGAACAGTTTTTCCCGCCTGCTGAATCTTGACCGGTCAATTCAAATTTCAGATGCGCTTGCAATTTCAAATCAGCCTCATGCTTTGCGATCGTCCAATTTTGAAATTACTTGCAGTAACTGTGAGTCAAGTAGTTTTCAAGTTAAGAATTATTTTTAACTTAGTTCTTTTTGTGTAAAATTCTCTCTTGAAATTGTTATTGACCTATTCTGGGTTTTGAGGCAATTTTGTCAATATTGATTCCTGAAGGTTTTCTTTATAACTAATCATGCATTCTTGGTGTGTTGCTGGGTTGTTGGTTCTTTTATTTTACACTTTTTATTGATTTCTTCATTCTGTTGAATGTCAAAGAAAGTTGTATGTTTTGCTGCATATTGAAATGCTTCTCGTAACAAAATCTTGTTAGTGGAATGATTCAATCTTTGCCAGTAGCTGAAGATTGATGCTTTTATGTTAGTGTGTAAAGTAAGTGAGTGAGTGAGTGCGTGCGTGCGTGAGTGAGTGAGTGAGTGGGTGAAGCAGAAAAGTCCTATGTTTATGTTGTTGCACTCAGTTATAAGGAGTCTTCCATTTTTGTCATATTATTAATATTACCAGTAAAACTGTAGAACTTACAAACCATATTTACGTCAAATAAAGTGTACAATACCTTGTCACGCTCAAGCAGCCGTATGTCTGTCCTAACTCGACAGTCAGTCTGGCATGAAACATCTGTGAAAACATTCATTCCAACAATTTCGTTACAAAGATAGCTTGCATACATGAAAATATGAATGTCTGGTAATGGGGTTCATCAAGAGATGATGATCTGGTCTCTTGTGTTCATTTATGCGTATAATGTAGAGAGAAACCTGAGACTAGAGATGGCAACTGACCAGTATATTGAATTTACAGCAGTTGAAGCGCGGGGAACAGAATTATGTATGGGTATCGCTTAAGCAGTTTCGCAGACTGTGGTGCACCTCAAATCTTGACCACGGCCACAGCCCACCCAAGATGTATGAAAGCAGATTCCCAGATTTGTATCAGGTGACTGTCAAGCAACTCCACTTAACAGGAGAGGAATTTGTGATGAGTGATGAGGATTTATTGAGGAATTTCTTGCATCAACACACGGATTAAATATGAGTTCTTGACTTCTTCACAAGAATATAATACCTACCATATTCTGGATCATTCAACTGAATTGTAAACTGCGTGAAGGAGTAAAATCTGAAATAAACAAAACACCTGTTTTAAATGCTACAAGAACAAAATTAATGAAAGTGCTCTATGAGCAAAACCATGAATTTTCCAGTGAAAGATGATTGACATGAATTAACCTTTGCATAACATGGAATTACTCTTTTCTTTACAAATAGGGTTGCATTGCACACATGTGGCTTACAGATTATTCTCGTTATATGAGTTACATTATTGATTTTATAGGCTACACTTCTTTACAAAAAAATCCGAGGAAACCCAAGTGAATCTTCACATATTTTCACTTCTTTTGTATCTCAATCTTGAACGACTACATGAAGTGCACGAATAGGGAAGCCTCTTTGTTGACACTACATGGGCTGTATTGCTCCAGTGGATTAAGTCATTCTCAACAGACCATTTTTGATATATTAAAATTCAGCTTGGCAGCAAGGCTTAAAGGACACAAACAAAGGAAATTGAATGACCATGTTTATTCATTTCTCTTGTTTGTGTCCTCTAGGCCTCACTATCAAGCTGAATTTTAATATATTGAAAGTGGCCTATTGAGCCACTCTATCTTTGTAGACTTCTTGATGCCTAATTAAAACCGATAAAGGTTGCTCAACATGTTTTTCTTGTCGCCTGAAGACAAAAGCTAGTCGTCTTTGCATGACTCAGTGCCGCTAGATTGAGTTTTTGCAGTTCTGCGCAGTGTTTGGAAGATAAATCACCACATTGCAAATAAGATCAAAGCAACTCCACTTGCAGGGTAGCTGCGAAAGGTCTTTAGAGAAATTGAGGGTTTTAATGACTATTTAAGCCATTGGATACGATTTGCAGTCATGTGAAACAGCAAAATTGCAAAACATCAAAATCCATGTTATTATTGTTCTAAATGTGAAATAAGTACATATTATTCAGAAAAAAGGGTTAAACAAGAAAAGAACAACACCTATGACTTAAAAAAAGCTAGTAGATCTTGAAATAGAACTCGGGTCCACTAGATTAGCACCAGCTGAAGGTGATAATCCTAACTATTGCTCAGAGAGGGCAAAAAAGTACAAAGCAAACCTTGGATGCTAATGTTTAGTGTCGCTAGTAAGCCACACAAAAACATGATGTTTTAAGACCAAAAATTACAACAAGCAATAACCAAAACTTCTGCAACTGAAAATAACGATTCTGAGAGTTATCTTTCACAAAGATCTTTTCTCTGGACCTTGCGCCCACGATAGAAAGGTTATTTAAAAATTGTTTAACAACGCTGCAAGACAGTGTTGACGTAAATATTACAAGCCAACCTTTCCATGACCCTTTCCTAGTCTCCTTTGCAACATCTATGTTACATGTACCATTGCATGAGGTACGCCCAAACAACTGAGATTAACACTTTCTCCGACCAACAAATGAACCGGAAATTTTAACACAGAATTAAAACAAGCTGCTATTACATAATACTTTCCAAGACCAACATATAAACCAGAAGTTTTAACAACCATTTAACTTGAGTTTTTTGAACTAAGAGTTCCATTTTTAGCGCAACACACACAGTTACGTAGCATGTTGACCAAAAGACGTCTAACATTATATGCACCCGCAAAACAGTGGAATTGCAATGGGAACTGAACGTATGCTTGACCAACTCCAATATGCAAAATAAAAAAAATCTGATCCACCACTACTACCTGTACCTTGCTTATGCAATCCACAGGCTAAAAATGAAATTCTACCAAAAACATGGATAATGACAATTAAAGCACAACACATGAATACATCTGAAAAAAATGTGGTTATTGACAATCCAGGGCTTGTAAAAAGATATTATTGGATGTGGTCATTAACTAGTGACACAATTCCAGATAGAGCAGAATGTATGCAGAGCACTGGCACGTAATAGTCACACAGTTCGCCAGCCCTGTTCACTCCCAGTTTGTATTGACTTTGGTAGTCATCTTGGGCTTGTCCCCTTTACCATGGTGTTTTGTGTTTATTCTCATCCATTTTAGATTAAAGCAGGAAATGCAATAGTTTTAGTTTTCATGCTGATGTATGTAACTTAATACTTAAGTCCTTTGGTTTTCTCACCCAAAAAAAACACTTGAAAGATGTGCTTCATTTAACAATCAATGAAGAACTAATTAAGAGAGATAATCAAATAGTCATGGAACAGCAGGTTCTTATTCTGTTATCAGCTGAAGCAAAATAAGCTAAATTATTTTATTGGCGAATATTATTCATTACTATAAATGTAAATTTAGTAATAAAAAGGTACATTTAGTAATAAAAAATAAAAGTTTAGCATGTGAAGATGGCTCAACAAGGGCTACTGTGCACCAGAAACTGACACATACTGACCAGTCCCTGAATTTCCAACATAAAATAGCTGTAGTCAACACTGCTACTTCAAGCTCAGACCTTGATTTCTGAAGAAGATGAGAGAGTAAAACCTATCCAGACTGGATGTTAACAATACTGAACAGAGGTTCTGGTAGGAGAGTGTGAAGAATCCCTTAACGAGAAGAGAATATATTCTTCAGCGCCATACATAGAAGGCACTTCAGAATGCCTACAAACAGCATTTAAATGACACCAGGTCACACTCATCCACATCCTTTCAATTCTCTCAGATTGCAATAAGTACATGTTGAGGAAAAAACAGAAAACCTTAATAAGTACAGAACGGTGTACCATATCCATGATGAACAATGTATCAAAAAGTATGTAGGCAAAGCTTGTAGTTTATTAAAAACTAGAGTTAAGGAACATCTCTTGAGGAAGTCGTCAGAGATTCACGGACATTGTCAGGTTACCTTTCGTTGATCCATCAAATCTTCAACACCAACAATACATTGATCTGGAAGGATAGAGGATGGCTGGCATGCATGTGCGTATCTACATTCTTTGCTACCAACTTGTTGCCATCTCACTTGAACTTGATGTACTTTCCATTACCATTGTGTGCCGTGTACTTGGCAGCGAATTTCGGTCCATGGTCATTGTAGGTGTGACGTTGCTTGAAAAAGGTGACCTTGGATTTCATGAAGCCCACTCTGTCCACATTAGAAAACATTCGTTGCAGGTTCTGATCAGCCCTTTTTATTTCCTGTGAAATGTGAAATAGCCATTTTTTCCCTCGTGAATCGTGATTTCCATAGTCACTGTGAACCGTGATTTTCCAAAATGTTCTCTTTATCTTCTGTGAGGCGTGAAATGCTAATGTTGTATTTTTCGTGAATTGTAAAAGGGCTGCTTTATTTTCCATGAAACGTCATCTATACCCTCCCTTTACCACCCTCTTTTTATCCCACCTTTTTTTCATCTCTAATGCAAGTGTACTTGATGAGGGTTGTGTTGTTGTTGTTGTCATTTGCCATCAGAAGAGGAGGTACCAACACCTTGGCACTGAGCAGAGAGATGCTGCTCAATCGCACTTTCCACCCAGACCCTCGAAAACAGATGGGATGAGGTAATTGGGCCTTGAAATCATTTGCTTGGCTCTGCAGAAACTCCTTTAGGTTTCTGTAGCTGATTAAAGCCATGTTAATTTCCTCACTCAAAATACTAGTAATAATCAAAGGTTAGGAAGTGCAGGCGAGGATGATACTTAGTGCTTCTGGGTTAATAAAAATGTATCAGAGTTATAATAAGTTGTAATCAGTGGTGCACTGAGATTAATTTTTAAATAGGGGAGTTATACATATTTGGCTCTAGGGGTAATGAAACATTTCGGGGCCTAAAGTGAAAAATGTTTCTGCTTCGTGGGACTGAAATATTTGCCCATAAGGGTAGCTCCACCACCCTATCGCACCCCCTTTTCCTATTATTTGCCACTTATAATTTATTTGCTCAAAAGTGTACATGGAGTTATTCCAGAGTGATTTTACTAAACCTATGAAACAGTTACCTACACTATAACATTCCATGATACACTTAAGTTTTGTCGTTTTGTTTTGTTTAGTTTTACTAATACACTGTAAATAGAATCACTCTACGTTATAAATTGTGGGTATTGATTGAGTAAGGATGAATTGATGGAATGCAACGATGATTTATTTAAAAATTCTAACATGCAAAACTTGAAGATGTCATTTGAATGAATAATAATGAAATCAAACAAATAATATAAGGCACTTATTTATGTGCCCAAGTTGAAATGTCAAGAAATGGAACTGAAACAGAATGACTATGGGCAGTCCAGATCTGACCTGACGTATCACAAAGACTTTGGTCCAGTCTGGCAAATAGCCTTACTCAAAGACTCGATATTCTTGTTCAGTCTCACACAATCTCGCACTTTCAGTAAACTCTTGATAGGTTTGCCTGACAGAGGATCCCAGATCTCTTTCTTGTTTTGGGCATTCACCTTCTTGGGGGCCATCCTGATGCTACAATGGTAGGAATCATTGTACCCTTTCACCAAGGCCTGGTGGGCAGGTAAAAAATTCATGGTGTTCTTGACCGTGAGATAATGATTCATGGGTTCTTTGTGCATGTGATTGAATCCTTCCTTGGTACTGGCTTCGGTGTTGCCAACCATGGAAAAAGGATGGATGCCTTTCTGTTTCATCAAGGTGGCAAAGGTGCGATTGTACAGTTATCCATTGTTGGTCTGTGGCTTTGCATCCTTGGTCGTGTTCTCTTCGAGTTCAAGTTCAAAGAAGTCAAACATGTACATGATGATGATGATGGTTAGAGAGTTTTTCCAACGACTTGTCCATGGAGTCCATGATTTTCACACCCGTTCCATATCTATGTTTTTTCCTTCACAGCCAAGCAGTTTCGGTATCGTTATGGTACAAAGTCTTGTCAGGTGAAACATCTTATTATTCTGCAGATCACCTGCATCAATTCGAAATGGGAACTGAAAAAAGGACAGTTGAGTCAACTTGTTGTGACAGGACATCAAAATAATTTAAAAAGATACTCACCACCCTGAGCTTTCCGAGTTTGTGTAAGTCTCAATACCAGCCATGGCCAACTCTCAACCAGATGCCAGAAATTGTTGGGGGTGGGACACTAAACATCTG